ATTGATGATCCTTGTTTGTGCTTGATTTATTGTTAGTGAAGTTATTTTGTGTAGTTTCTCCTCCCTTTTTCTTTTGGTGTTTTGTAAAGTGGTATTATATATTGCCTGTGTCTTTGTGAATGTAGTTATCTTCCTTGGATCTAGGTTTTCCTTCTAGCATTTTCTGTAGAGCTGGATTCATGGATACATATTGTTTAAATCTGGCTTTGTCATGGAATATTTTGTTTTCTCCATCTATGGTGATTGAGAGCTCTGCTGGATATAGTAGTCTGGGTTGGCATCCTTGTTCCCTTAGCGTTTGTAGGACATCTGTCCAAGATCTTCTGGCTTTCATTGTTTCCATTGAGAAGTCAGGTGTAATTCGGATAGGTCTGCCTTTGTATGTTACTTGGCCTTTTTCTTTAGCTGCTCTTAATATTTTCTCTTTACTCTGTAGGTTTGATGTTTTGATTATTATATGGTGAGGTGACTTCTTTTTCTGGTCAAGCCTATTTGGTGTTCTGTAAGATTCTTGTATTTTCATAGGCATATCTTTCTTTAGGTTAGGGAAGTTTTCTTCTATGATTTTGTTGAATATGTTTTCTGTACCTTTGAGTTGTATTTCTTCACCTTCTTCTATACCTATTATTCTCAGGTTTGGCTTCTTCACGGTGTCCCATATTTCCTGGATATTTTGTGTTAAGGATTTGTTGGTTTTGATTTTCTTTGGTTGACGACTCTATATCCTCTAATGAGTCTTCAACACCTGAGATTCTCTCTTCTATCTCTTGTATTCTATTGGTGATACTTGCATCTGTAGTTCCTGATCGTTTACCCAGCTTTTCTATTTCCAGCATCCCTTCATTCTGTGTTTTCTTTATCGTTTCTATTTCAGCTTTCAATCCTTCAACTGTTTGAGTTGTTTCCTTAATTTTTTTTGGTTGTTTTTTCTTGGTGCTCTTTAGATTCTTTGAGAGATTTGTTTATTTCTTGAATTTTTCCCCCATTTCATGGATTTTTTTTGTTTGTTTTTTCTTCTATTTCTTTAAGAGATTTCCTCGTTTCTTCTTTGAGGGTCTCCATCATCTTCATGAAATAATTTTTAATGTCTGTCTCCTCTTCTTCGTCTATGTAGTGCTTTTCGGGTCTTGCTGGTGTTGGATCCCTAGATTCTGGTGGGGTCTTGTTGGTGTTTCTATTGCTGAGTGAGCTCTTATTCTGTCTTCTTCCCATCTCTTCTTCCAGTGGGTGCTGGTGGGGTCTTTTCATCTCCACTGGTCTCCTTCCTTCCTGAAGCTGAAGCTGGGGCTGCTGACACGGAGTTTGGGGCCTGGAAGGGCTGATGTCTTTCCTGAAGCTGTACTCGCTGGGGTTGGGGTCTTGGAAGGGCTGATGTCTTTCCTGAAGCTGGACTCGCTGGGGTTGGGGTCTTGGAAGGGCTGATGTCTTTCCTGTGTGGGCGGGTCTTCTGGATGCCTGGATTGGCCCCGGAAGATCAAGGGGATGGGTGTTGGGCGGGCGGTCTCTGCCGGAGACCCAATCTCACCTGAAGCTGGACTCCCATTAGAAATAATTTTATTGACACTTTTGCCATTTGTGTTTGGTTCTGTTCTAGGTCTCTGGGGTACCCCACTTCTGGGTCTTGGCCCTCTGTGGAGAGCTCCCTCTCAGGGTACAGGCCTCCAGCTGTGCCAGTCCTTAGCTGGTCACTCCCACTGTTTCTGTCCCGTTTGTACCCCAGCACACCTTGTAGGCAGGACAGACTGTAGGTCGAAGGGTTTGTGGTCCGGTTGGTGTTTCAGGCCCTTCCCTGGAGGTCTTGCTTGTTATAGGAGATGACTGATTCAGGCTCCTATCCCCTGTCACTAGGAGTCTTAGCTAGGGTCACCCTCAGAGAGTACTGAGAGTTTCCATCGCTTTAGGTTTCCAGCTCATCCCAGACAAGCCATCAGATTCCAGTTGTCTCTCCATCTTCCCCCAACTTATTCCTCCTGCTCCCATTCCTATCCTCCTTCCAGGTACCTCCCACCAGCCACTAGCAGTGTCCATTCTATTTCTCCTTCACAGTGAGATTCATACATCCTTCTGCTTGAGCCCTCCTTGTTATTTTGTTTCTCTGGGCCTTTGGGTTGTAGCATGGTTCTCCTTTACTTCACAGCTAATATTCACTTACAGGTAAGTACATACTATATTTGTCTTTCTTGGTCTAGACTCAGGATGGTCTTTTCTAGTTCCATCATTTGCCAGAAAATCTCCTGATGACCATGTTTTTAGAAGCTGTGTAATACTCCATTAGGTAATTGTACCACATTTTCTTTATCCGTTCTTTTGAGGGACATCTAGGTTGCTTCCAGTTTCTGACTACTATGAATAAAGTTGCTAGGCACATTGCTGATTAAGTGTCCTTGTGGTATGATGGAGTGTCCTTTGGTTAAATGCCCAAGAGTGGTATAGCTGGGTTTTGAGGTAGGTTGATTCCCAATTTTCTGAGAAACAGCCATACTGATTTCCAAAGTTGTGGGAACACCAGACCTTGAGCAGAGACCCACTTCCCCTTCTGCCTGGGAGTAGGCAGCTGTAAGACAATGTTTAGTAAAAGCATGTTTACTAAAAACGATACAATAAGTTCCTGGCCACTTCCCCTTCTGCCTGGGAGTAGGCAGCTGTAAGACAATGTTTAGTAAAAACCTGTTTACTAAAAATGATACAATAAGTTCCTGGGAAAGGCCTTCCCACGGAAACCGCCCTGACCTCGACCTTGTCCAGAGACTAACCGCACCTTCAAAAACCCACACACATCCACCTCTGGTGTCAGAGCAGAACCAGCCAGGGGAGAGGAGAGAGCAGAGGCTTCTCTGGTGGGAGCCTTTCTTAGGAAGTTTTTCTTGAACCTTTTTGGAGCCTGTTTAAAGTTCTCTTTATATCATTAAACGAGTCTCTGTGTTATCAATACCCGACACCCTCCGCACGTTCTCGGACACAGGCCGCGCAGCAGTCGTGACACAAAGTGTCTGTACCAATTTGCACTCCCATCAGTAGTGGAGGAGGGCTCCCCTTGCTCCACATCCTCTCCAGCATAAGCTGTCAATTGTGTTTTTGATCTTAGCCATTCTGACAGGTGTATGATAGAATCTCAGTGCCATTTTGATTTGCATTTCTGCAATAGCTAAAGATATTAAACATTTCTTTGTTTCTCAGTCATTTGAGAGTCCTCTGTTGCAAAGTCTCTGTTTAGATCTGTGCCCTGGTTTTTAATTGGATTGTTTAGTTTGTTGATGTCTAGTTTCTTGAGTTCTTTATATATTTTGGATATTAGCTCTCTGTCAGATATGGAGTTGGTGAAGATCTTTTTGCATTCTGTGGCCCACATTTGTCCTATTGATGGTGTCTTTTGCCTTACAGAAGCTTTTAGTTTCATTAGGTCCTGTTTATTAATTGTTGGTCTTAGTGTCTGTGCTATTGGTGTTCTGTTTAGGAAGTTGTCTCCATGTCAGTGTGTTCAAGTCTAGTCACCACTTTTGCTTCTACCATGTCTAGTGTATGTAGTTTCTTGATGAGTCCTTTGATCCACTTGGATTTAAGCTTTGTGCAGGGTGAGGTATGGATCTATTTGCTTTCTTTTACTTGCAGGCATCCACTTAAACCAGCACCATCTATAGAAGATGCTTTCTTTTTTCCGTTGTATAATGTTGGTTTATTTGTCAAAAACCGAGTGACCATAGGTGTGTGGATTTACTTCTGTGTCTTTGATTCAACTATATTGACCAATGTATCTATTTTTATGCCAGTACAATGTGGTTTTTATTACAATTGTTCTGTAGTACAGCTTGAAATCAGGGACAATGATACCTCCACTAAAAGAACAATAAAAGTTCTTTTATTGTACAGGACTGTTTTAGCTATCCTGGGTTTTTTGTTTTCCCATATGAAGTTGAGTGTTGGTCTTTCAAGGTCAAACCAAGCCTTCTGAATGTGGGTACCAGCTAGGGGGCCTGGGAAGTCTATGGGACCTCTAACAGTGGAGCCAGTGTTTCTCCCTAGTGCACAAATAGACTTCTGGAGCCCATTCCCTATGGAGGGATACTATTGCAGCCCAGATACACAAAATGATGTGACAGACTTTGATGATCCCCATGGTAGGCCTCACTGTATTTGGGGAGTGTGGGGGGTGCTTTAGGGGTTTTGGTGGGGGCATGGGTGGATGGGAGGGTGAGGAAATGGGGGAATTAATATGTAAATAAGATTGTTTCTAAAATTTAAAAAGAAACAAAAAAGAATTGTGATGGAATTTTGATGGTAATTGCGTTGAATCTGTAGATTGCCATTTAAGTGACTATTTTTAATGTTAATCCTAACTATCCATGAGCATAGGAGTTCTTTCCATCTTTTGATATCTTTTCCAATTTCTTTCTTCAAAGAATTTAAGTTCATGTTATACACGTCTTTCACTTGCTTGGTTAGAGTTACCCCAAGATATTTTGTATTATTTGTGGCTATTGTGAAGGGTGTTGTTTCCCTGATTTCTTTCTCAGCCAGTTTATCATTTGTATATAGGAGGACTACTGATTTTTTTAGTTAATTTTGCATCCAGATACTTTGGTGAAGGTGTTAATCAGCTGTAGGAGTTCACTGATAGAATTTTGGAGGTCACTTATGTATACTATCATCTGCAAATAGGGAAAAGGGGAACTGTGGTTGATATGTAAAATGAATAAATAAAATTTTAAAAGGAAAGCACAAGGGTTGGTGTGGAAGCAGGTATTATGGGTGAGATGGTTGGTCAGAAAGAAGGGTAGAAAGACAATAAACAATATATATATATATATCATGCTGGTCGTCTGGAGAACGGTGATAAAAACTGCATATGTACCTCCAGCCTAAGCCTAGGCTGTAAGACGTGGAAATGAGTTCATCCATGGTCCACTACTAAGGAAAGCTGGGGAAATGAGCCTCTTGTAGAGCAGTGTGCTCACAACTTACACCACTAAAGACCTTCCGTCCATCTTCTCCTGACTCTCCAGGACACAGGCACATAGAACCACGGGGGACTGACGATGACTTCTGGGGCCCTACAGGGCCTGTGGCTACTGAGGTGGTTGACAGAGAGAGGAACCTGTACCGGTGAGTGAGCTCTGCATGGAAAAGGTGACTTTCCCCAGCACACTAGCCACACTTTTCACCTAGTCTCTACCGTGCCTCCTCCTCCCCTCATCAATGCAGGAGGCAAGACTAAGACAAAGAAGCTTGGAGTGTTAAAATAGTAAAGGTTTTTTCATAAAAATTTTCAAACATTTACAAAACTGGAGAGCATAAGAACTTCCCTGACCAATGACTCAATTCCAAGCAACCATTTCTTCCAAGTCTGTTTCAACTGCTTACATTCCTCCCTTGTCATCACCATCACAGTATTGTGAGTCCAGGACATCAGGTGACTTCACCCACAAACATTTCACTATGCACCCCCATAGTTATGACAGAACCTCGTCTTCCATGGCCAGTTCACCACTACCACAACAACAGAGCTGACAGGAGTCCTTCATTCCATGTAACCAGTCTGTGCCCAACTTTGCTCATGACATGAAATTTGAAGTTTCTGCTCTTATTCTATTCATGGTGTAAACAGCATTCCTCTCCTCGTTATATTTGGTTTCTCCTGTCTCTTAGATTTCCCTTAAATTCATACAGTCTCTGCACTCCTGCTTCACTAACCTCCACTGTGTGCCAAGAACCCAACAGGAACTGAGAACATGAAGATGCATGCAGCAGCCCAGGCCTCCAACAATTATAGTCCCAAGAATAATGAGTGATTATATACACAATCACGGTGTCTTCCATAACCTGCTACCCTCCTCCAACACAGTCACAGTCACTCTATCAGCTGGAAAACTGTCACCCATCTGTCACCAAACAGGAAGCCTTTAAGAAATCACTGAAGATCTTGGTGAAGCACTATGTCAGGGCCAAAGATTCATCACCTATATTAGCAGATGGACTCTTATATTTGTGAAATATACTTTAAGAATATAAACTAAAAATTGAAGATGAGCCTCAGTAGTAGAATCTTTGCCTAATGTGCACAAGGTCATAGCTTGATCCCCAGAACTTCACACACACACACACACACACACACACACACACACACACACACACACACACACACAAACACCTATTTCATCACCCTCATCATCAGCATCACAGGAATAGCTAACTGCTCCAGGTGTGTGTTACCTGTAGGTTTGCTCTAGGTCACTCGGCACTCACGAATCTAGGAGATGGTGTTGCCATTGTCCCCATGTACAGATGAGAAAACAGATTTGAGGGTTAAGTGGCTTTCTTAGTAATCTACCTACAGACAGTAGAGGAAACAAAGCTCAGAGCCACCTAGCTGAAGTCTATGGTATCCCCAGGCCTACACTAGGTCTGCACTTAGCAGATAAGCAGAGCTGGTATTCACTGGTGTTTGCCTCTGCCTCTTCCTCTTCTAGATTTCAATTCCCAGTGCCTGGTTCCTATCACTGTCCCAACATAGGACTACACTTTGTGGTGACAAGGGCAGTGATAATTGAGATTGAATTCTGTGCCTAGACCCAATATCTGGACCAAACTCATTTGCGACACAGGCACATGGTGGCTGGGCCTCTGTTTGACATCAAAGCTGAGCAGGGAGCTGTGGCTGCTGTACATCTCCCTCACTTTGTGGCTCTCCAAGGTAACCAAGGGAAGGATAGGGAGGAGGGTGGTGCTAATGGGAGGACTTGACAGGTCATATAGTAGACTGTAGGATGATGGTGATGAGGAAAGGTCTCATGGCTTCCTTAGTGAGACAGAGTGGGCTATAGAAGTGAATGCTGAGATATTTTTCATCCCTTCTTGTCTAATGAATCTTCTTTGAAGCATGTGTCTCCTAAGGAGTTCCTAAGTGAAAAGTGATGTCCTTAGTAGCAATATTAACTAGTGATTATTAAGTGCTCTTTATACACCATGTCCTTCAGGGAACCAGCAAGGAACTGAGAATAAATTGAGCAATTAGAAGAGATTGCTGCAAAGTGACAATAATGAGGTTAACAAGAAACATTTAGTACCGAGGGTCTACCAACACTGTGAGCCATTACACTTCTACATGCAGGGAGAAAATTATGTTACCAGATTCCATTTAGGAACTGGAGCCACAGAAGGGGGCCTTCCTAAGAGAAGAGGGGGGCTCATAAAGTGTCCCAACCTCAGTCATCACCAAAGATTCCTTCAGAGGGTATTTTAATAAGTGCAAGGTTTCCAGTGAGTCATCTCATAAAGAAAGGCATTACTACAGCCTGTGATCCCAACTCTCTAGAGGCTGGTGGGGGGGAGAATTTAGAGTTCAAGAGCAGCCTAGACTACCCACACCCAGACTCTGGAAAGGCAGCAAGAAAAAAAGAGAACCAAGGACTGTACAAATGGCTGGTGAGACCAACTTCCTCTCCTGCTCCGAGAAGCACAATAGGGCCCCCATAGAGACCAGGAGAATCCAGCTCACCGCAGAAAAAGATGGCATTTGTACATGGTGATGAAGATGAAGAGTAGGTTCAAGAGGGCGGATCTAACCATAATGTCCCCCATAATCTGTGCTCAGCATAGAAGTGCTTCCTTAGTCCTGAGTTCAAAACTCTTCTACATCCCAGCCACAAAACAGTTCCAAAGGCCTAAGAACCACATGATCAGGTTTTTTACAGCAGCTACTCAACTCCCACTATCAATTTTCTGTGCACATTCATTTCCTTGTAGCTCAAGCAAAATACCTAACCAAAGAAACTTAGAGGAAAGATTTATTTTGCCTCACAGTTAAAAAAAATAAAGCAATTTATCATGACATGGAAGTCTGAGGACATGAAGCTAGCGGTGCCTGGTAAACTTGTGTCAACAGAGGGAGCTAAACCACCAAATGCTGTGCTCATATGACCTTCTCCACATTAGACAGCCCTGGGTCCTAGTGCACGGATCCCACGGAGGGCAGGTTCTCCAAATCATTGACCCAATCAAGATAACCTCCTATCATGCCCTGAGGCCTGTACCCAAGGTGATTCTAGATTTCATCAAGCTCGAATATGACATTAACCAATCCAGGGATCATCCAGCTTTGTCTTCAGTGAACAAAGGTAGGTACTCTCAGGTCTCTTTCATAACAGCAACCTCCATCCTGCAACAAGCACGTTAGTGGACACTGCCAACCCCAAGACACTGGAGCCGCTGATGGCAGCACCTCAGAGAACCTACTGGTTGTCAGTTGTCTGATAGTGGCCTCTGAGGATGTATTCTTTATAGCATCTGTGGATGAGACCAACAAGACTCTCCACACCTCTGTGAATGCTCTCCCAGTAGCTAGCCAGGGACAAAGACAAAGCTGCTTCAATGAGGGGCAGTTGACATGAGTGACCACTGACAGCAGATCACATTCACCTCTCCTGTGAATTGATGGTGAGGAAATGGTCAATTGTTCTGCTGTGTTCTCACTGGGGATTAACTAATAAAACTTGGGGGTTTTGTTCACTTTTTTCTCATAAACATCAAAAAAAATAAATCCTTGCATCAATGTTCATGAGGGATATTGGTCTGAAGTTCTCTTTTATGGAGATTCCTCAGGAAAATGGGACTCAGTCTACCACAAGACCCAGCAATTTCACTCTTAGGCATATACCCAAAAGATGCACTTTCATACAACAAGAACGTCTGTTCCACTATGTTCATATCAGCATTATTTGTAATAGCCAGATCCTGGAAGAAAACTAGATGCCCTACAACAGAAGAGTGGATAGAGAAAATGTGGCACATTTAACAATGGAATACTATTCAGCAGAAAAAAAAACAATGGAATCTTGAAATTTGCAGACAAATGGATGGCACTAGAAGAAACCATCCTGAGTGAGGTAACCCAGTCACAAAAAAAGACAAACATGGTACGTACTCACTCATATATGGATTTTAGACATGGATCAGGGGAGTGTCAGCCTACAATGCCACTGCCAAACCTTCATCCAGAGACTGATGGAAGCAGAGACAGATACCCACAGCTAAACACTGAACTGAACTCCTGGAACCCAATGACAGAGATGGAGGAGTGATGAGCAAAGGGGTCAAGACCATACTGATGAAATCCACAAAGACAGCTGACCTGTACTCCAGACTGATGGCTGAGAGGCCAGCATGGGACTGATCCAGACACCCTGAATGTGGTGTTAGTGAGGAGGCCTCAGCAATCTCTGGGGCCTTAGGTAGTAGATCAGTATTTACCATGGCGTCTGAAAGAACTTTGGGAGCCCATTCCACATGGAGGGATGCTCTTTCAGCCTGGACACATGGGGGCGGGCCTAGACCCTGCCCTGGATGAAATGACAGACTCTGGAGATACCCCATGGAGGGCCTCACCCTCCCTGGGAAATGGTGTGGGAGGGTTGGGAGGCTGCTAAAGGGACAAGGGAGGAGGGGAGGGAGAGGGAACTGGGATTGACATGTGAAGCAAGTTTGTTTCATATATATATATATATATATATAGTTGAAAAATAAATAAATCTAAAAGGCGACTTATAGGAGAAATATTTTGGGATGATTACAGTTAGGGAGTTAGAGTCCATGACCATCATGACAGGGAGCATGAAAAAAAGCAGGCAGGCAGGCCCAGCAATGAAGCAGTAGCTGAGAGCTTTCATCCTTATCTGCAAGGAGGAGGGAGAGAAAGGAAACTGGAAGCAACACAAATTTTAAAACTTCCAAGCCCACCCCAGTGACACACCTCCTCCAACAAGACCACACCTCCTACTCATCCCCAAACAGTTCCACTAAGGAGTGTGGTGATATTTTATTTGTGATCTAACAAATAAAGCTTGCCTGAAGATCATAGTGCAGAGCTAACTACATTAGTTAGCCATAGAGGCCAGGCAGTAGTGGTACATGCTTTTAATCCCAACATTTGGGAAGCAGAGGCAGATGGATATTTGTGAGTTCAAGGCCACCCCTGTTATTCAAGACTGAGTCGGTCTAAAAGAAAAACAAAGCCAAGTGGTGGTGGCTCACACCTTTAATCCCAGCACTAGGGACATGGAGGCAGGAAGTAATGTGGCTGGTCAGAGAGAGAAATATAAAGCAAGAGGAGACAGGAGCTCAGAGAATTCAGTCTAGTTTCATAGAGACAGAATTCCGTCTAAGAATTCATAGAGACAGGATAGCCCTTTTGGTCTGAGGATTTAGTAGACATAAGAACTAGTGGCTGGCGTCTCTGCTTCTCTGATCTTTCAGCATTTAATCCCTGTATCTGACTCTGGGTTTTTATTACTAAGACCAATTAGAGTTAGTGCTACAATGGAGGCCATTCTCATTTCAAACCATCACAGTTATCCTAAATTGTAGAGTACTACTTCCTAGACAAATGTGACTCAATGGAAACACTAAATCTACATCTTTGAATCTGTTCTTTCACAGAGGGACAAGTGGACGTCTCTTTGTTCTGTGTGGCTCACTTTCAAGAACATGGTATGGTCCTAGAAATTCCAGCCAGGGTGGAACAGCACTGCGCAGTACTGAAAAACCCAAGCTTCTCCCCAATGGGAGTTCTAGTGAGAATGATCCCTGCTGTCAGGCACCTCATCCCCATCACTTCCATCACACTGGTCTACTATCACCTCAATCTCAAGGAGGTCACCCTTCATCTGTACCTGATCCCCAACGACTGCACCATCCGGAAGGTGACACTGAGGACCTCAAAAGTGGGGCCAGGGTGGGCAGACAGAGAACCTGAGATGCAGCTAGTGAGCCCCTTGGAGAGATTCTTAACTGGTAGTGGGGATGCAGTTCTATAAAGGGAACCATGATGTTAATGTTTCTGCATTCTTTCTGCCCCCTCACACGAGAGTCTCCTACAACTGCCTTTATTGCCCTTTTGCAAACCTCTGCACAGCCTTCTGTGGCCTCTTTTCATCCATCAGAAGGATGGGAATGCTCCATGCCCAACATGTAGCCGACTCTCTTCTTCTCTGGCAGAGATCCTGTTTCCACTATGAACATGACTGAAACCAAAAATTCAACAGTCTATGTGGCAGAACACAAGGCAGAAGGGTTCCCAGGAGGTGTCACCATCCCATCCCAGACAAATGTACCAAAAGAGCATCTCGCCTTATTCAGACAAGATGTTGTAGCCCAGAAGTCTAGATAATCACTCTGTAATGTTCCTAGGCCATTGATGATGAAGAAATGAAGTTCCAATTCGTGCAAATAAACAAGCCACCTCCACAAGACTCATTTTACATTGGCTCACGATACATCATTTCTGGTTCTGAGAAACTGGAAATCATGCCAACGGTGAGCATCCAGGTGTTTGCTACCCTTCAAGGTCAGATGGCAGGCTTGGGGAAACCTGTGGAGTGGGTAACAAGCCTTTGTAACAAGCTGAAACTGTATAGAAAGAAATTGGGACTAGGATGAACATGAATGCATCAAAGTTTGGTAGATAGCAAATTAAAGGACTATACATGAATATAGAAAGCTTGAAGAATTGAGGAGTTTGATTCAGTGTGGCACAGAGAAGGATCCAGCACAACATGGCTTAGAGAGCAAGGCCTGATTTAGGCTGTGTGAGCAGAACTTTCAGGCTGAGCTCTCACTCATCCATGGGGGTTAAGGTTTGAATCTGAAATGTCTTCTATGGGTGTAAATATTTAAACACTTGGTCCCCCAGACAATGGTAATACTTTGGAAGTTTGTAGAAACGAAAGATGTGAGGCCTGGATATCAGAAGCAGGTCTTAGTGACAAATTTTTAGGCTTTTAGTCATGCCCTGCTGCCCTGCTTCCCCATATCAGTCTTGCTGATTCTTGATCCTCAAAAATATAAAGAGCAATGCCGCAAGCTCCTGCCACCAAGACTGGAGCTCCAGCTCACATGAATTTCACACCATAAAACCAAGCATCATAAACCCTTCCTTGAGTTGTTTCCTGTCAGGTTTCTAGTAACCATTATGTTGGGGGTTCTAGCTAGGTCCTCAACCTTCAGAATAAAGATGTGTGTTCAAAGCAGTGGGTTACCTTGGAGCATAAGATAGACAGAGTCTAATGTGATGGGCAAGATCAAGAAAGCATAGGGATGGGGACAGCGCTCCTTCCCAGGATGAGTAGTGGATTCTCTTAGGACAACTCTCTCTTCTCTCTTCAGGAACTGGTATTATGTTACAGGAGCCCCAGGGAATCCCAGCTCTTCTCTGAGATCTACGTTGGCCACATGGATTCGAGGATTAAGCTGCAAATCCGAGACAAGAAGCATAAGAATCTTATATGGGAAGCCTTGCTGAAACCAGGTAAAATTACTTGAGGTCCAGATACCCAAAAAGCAGAAGAAAGGCAATGAGTGGGAAAAGGTGTATTGTCATTAATTCCTGATGTCACAAAATAGATTTAGTCATGTGGGTTTTGCTCGATCCTTAACAGGTGGTCTGACCACAGTTTAAAATCTGATGCTGTGTTAGAAAGCTTTTCCCAGTAGTAACAAAATACATGAGATAAACAACTTTAAAGGGAGAAAGTTTTGTTTTGACTCATGAACTTAGAACCAAGTTTCAGACCGTGGTCAGCTGCCTCCATCTCTTTGAGCCAGAGGTGAAACAGGATATCATGGATGGGGAGCTTGTGAGATTGGATGCTGTTCACCTGGTAGCTCCAAAGCAGAGAAGGGAGAGGGAGTGAAAGAGAAAAAGGCAGTGTTATAAAAGGAGGAGGAGAAGGAAGAAGAAAGGACAAATTCTTGCAAGATTTTCTATTCCAGGACATGCCTCCAGTGACCTACTTCCTCCAACTGAGTGATCTTCAATGGTTTTTCACTGTCATTCTCACTACTCACAATTATGATTGCATTAGTGTATAGATCCATTCATAAAACCATAGTTCCCAGGACTGATTACAGCTGCAGTACTCATCTTTCAGCACATGATCATTGTCAGAGAATGCATCATATCCAAACCACCACATACTATAAAACCCATTTTCTCAGTCCTAAAACTACTACCCTTGAAGTGACAGATTTTGAGAAGCATAAAAGCATCTGGCTCCAGTTCACATTGTATCTCGGGTTTAAAATGAAGGGATTTTGCCAGCATGAGATACTCAATCTGGAATCCATGCATAATTTTTAGTAGTAAATTTTGTGTTTTGACAATTTTATACACACATGCAATGCATTGTAGTAATTCCACCTTAAACACACCTTCTTATCTCCCTCCTACTCCTGCCAGCCCCTCTTCTTTAATACAAATCCCTTTCCCACATTCATGAAGTTTTGCTTTGTGTCCCACAGAGTTTATCTGGGAGTATCTGTGTGTCCCTGGGTTTTGCACTATCCAGGAAAACCTAGCGAGCTCACCGCAGGCATACAGATGGGATGTATTCCTCCCTTGTCCCCATAGCCTATTATTTGCCAATGGTTTAGCAGGAAGTGTCACTGTCCCTGTGAGATGCTTCCCTGTGTCTGACTGATGGGCAGACTCTGCTTGTGTGGGTTCAGAGACAGTAGGTGCAGGTGCTATGAGTTCACGATGGCCTTAGTCATGTCATGCTTAGAAGACAACATTTCACAGCCCTTTTCCATGTCTTCTGTTGCTACACTTCCTCTTCCACAATGTTCCTATAGCCTCAAGGATGTGGTATAAATGTCCACTTATAAGGATGAGTACTCAACCATCTCCTATTCTCACTATCCTGAACATCTATAGATATCTGCATTAACCTCCATTCACAGCAAAGGGAGGTTTTTCTGGAGAATGCTGAACGTAGCCTTTGTCTGCAGGATAAACGTTGATTTTTAGAAGAGAGTTAACACTATGTCCATTTAGCTAAGCAGCAATAGTAGCTTCTCTCAAGGGACTAAGACCTCCACAGATACGGGTTCGCTTGCTTTACTAACTTTAGAGTGTTAGTGGTGGATTATATCTTGAGAAGTGGGGCTGAAACTTAATTAGAAATACAGGTTACTCCCACCACAGCTGTGCCACTATTGCAGCAATGGGACCATCTTGCTGGCAAGTCAGTTTGAAGAATATAGAGTACAGAGCTGGGTTAGACTATTGTTGATGCCTTTCTTCCTTTGCAGCCTGCATAATGGTATGAAACTTTAGCAACAGGAAGGAAGCTTCCAACTCAGTTCCAACTTGAATTATCCATACTATGTATCCATGATGCCTGGGGCTTCAACCATAAGGTCTCATCCAATAGTTCTGATGGGGAATGAAAAAGAATGAAATGCATTCGTATTGTCTTGGGAAGCTCCAGGGACTCCCTGCCCAACAGCTCCTATGGAGATATCCCACACCTGGAAACTGGGTCTTTGTTTTGAAACTCACTGCTACTAAGACCTCCCATTTCAAGCATCATGGGGTGTCTTGAATTCCAAGTCTTTTATGTTTTTTTATATTGGGTTACCAAATACAGGTTCCCTTGTGACTTTTAAATGCTGTCTTCATTTCTGCCCCCAATATTCCCTCTCTACCCTCATTTTATCATGACATTTCTGTCCTCCTTTTATCCCTAAGGCCATGCTCCATTTCTAGTGTTCTGGTAGGGGCACACCATGTTAACACCACAAAAATAAAGACTCCAGGACAGAAACTGATGTGGTAGACATAGTGTTTTCTTTCTGGGCCCAGGTTACCTTGCTCGATGTTTTTCCTAATTTGCATACTCACTTTTCATAATGTCATTTTCTTCACACATGAATAAAACTTCCACACTTTTTGTAAAGAATGTCTCTGTATGTGTGCCACACATTTCATTATCTAATCATTTGTTGATGGATGTCTAGGCTGATCACATTTCCTAGCTACTGTGAGCAGTACATGATTGAAAGAGCATGGCGTGCAAATGTATTCATAGTAGGATATAAATTCCCTTAGATATATTACTGGGAATGGTAGGGCTGGGTTATATAGGAGTTCTAGTTCTAGTTCTTAAGAAGCTTGCAGATTGATTTCCACAGTGGCTTCACTAGTTTGCCCTCCCACAGGAAGTGTATACGTGTTCCACTTTCCCTACATCCATTCCAGCTTTGTGTCCTAGATATTAGATATTCTCAAGGGATGAGATGGAATCGTAAGAAATTTAACCTGCACTTCCCAGATAGCTAAGTGTTTCCTATCCTGTGTATTTTTCCTTCTAAGAAATCTCTGGTTCCTCCTATAGCCCACCGTGTTGTTGGGTTATCTCCTTGGGTTTTTGAATTCTGTGTGTATGCTAGCTCCTAATCTTCTGTCAGATGTTAGCTGGGAAATAGTTTCTCCCATTCTTTGTTGCATCTTCACTCAATTACATTTCCTTTGCTCTATAGAGCATTTTAGTGTCCTGAGATCTGATTTGTCAACTATTAGATTTACTTCCTGTGCTACCAGGAATTCACACAATCTTGACTTGTTCTGCTGTGTTGAAATGTTCTCCATATGTAGGGGGAGATCTCACATACCTGCAACACTGATCACGCCAGTTTGGGCATGGTCACAAGTATGTGGGGGTAGGAGAGATAAAGGGAAGGGGGAAAGGGCTCTCGCTCTCACTTGGGGCTGCATTCGAGGTTGGAGATGAGCAGAGTGCTGACCTCAGTTCTCGGCTTCTCATGTAAGACTCCTCTGCCCACTATCCTGGGCATGGCTCTTTTTACATCTTCATCCATACCTTTTCCTCAACCTGGTTCAGGGTATTGATTGGGTCTCACATTGAGGTCTTTGGTCATTTGGGGTTGGCATTTTAAGGGAGAAGTATAGGCAACCAGTCTGTCTTTTAAAGTGTTGCTATGTAGGTCTTCCAGTATCATTTGTTGAACAGGCTATCTTTGCTCCAGAGTATATTTTTGGCTTCCTTGTCAAAGGCCCTGTAGCTGTGGTTGTGAGGTTTTTTATCTATTCTATTCTATTCCAGTGTCCTGGGGTTTTGTGTGCACACCATACTGTTATAATTACCATGGCAGTAGTATTAATTTGAAATAAGTTGTGCTGATGCTTCCTATAATAGTGTTTTTATTCAGGATTGCCTTGGCTGTACCATGTCTCTTGTGGTTCCACATGTGTTTCAGGACTTTTTCCACACTTTTTGTAAAGAATGTCTCTGTAATCATGATTGGGACTGCACTGAATCTGTAGAGTGCTTTTAATAGGTGGCTATATTCACAATATTGAATCTTCCAAAAAATTAGCATTGCCTGGGGGGGTTGTTCCATCTTTAAGTCCTTGATCTATGTATTTATTTGATGTTTGTCTTAAAGTTGGAGAGTACTTTCATTTCCATGGTTATGTTTTTCTGTCCAGAATTTGTTTTATTATTTCTTTGTTTATCTGTGTTTATTTTTATTTGTTTGTTTGTTGGCTATCGTAAGTCATCTATATTTTCAAGCTCACATGGACAAGAGAAAACAAATAAGTGGCATTTCATAATTGCAGTCAACAATACAGTCTTAGTCCAATGCACACAACACTAAAGCCAAGGTCCCCTAATCAGTACCTCAGGAGATTCCCAGCCCTTGTCAGCTCCCAAACCTGGTGGTTCCTGCTCCTGAGCATCTACAAACAGGCTCCACTTGTGGTCAAAGAACAGACTTTGCTCAGCCTTGACCTGAGTGAGCCACAGGTGACCTAACCTGCCCCAGTATCTGGCCAGGGTTTGAATCTCACTCCACCACTCAGGCAATCTTGGAAAGTGACTTAACTCATTTGAGACTGACCTTCCTTAATTGAAGATCAGAATAAGTAGCCTGTAGGATATTTTGAAGAGTTAAATTATGTTTATACACATCTCATAGTGTGATACTTAGTTGATGAGAGCAATGTTGCTATTTTTCTTTATATTAAGCCAACCTTTCCACATGTTTTTCTTAATTCTGTTCTTCGGGGCTCATTAAGATCTGTTCCTTCTGGGAAACAGAAACTTCATTTACTGGCTGGTTAAGTACTGAGCTGAACTCAAGAAAGCCAGTATCAGAGAGGGAGGACTGATGATCAAAGGGATTAAGACTGGGCTGGTTGAACCCCCAGAAACAGCTGACCAGACAAAGGTTAACTCTTGAATCCCAGGCATCAGCCTGGGAATCCAGCATGGGACTGATCAAGACCCCCTGAATCTGGGTGTCAGTGAGGAGGCCTAGGTAATCTATTGAGCCTTGGACAGCAGATCAGTACCCATCCCAAGTATACACATGGTCTCTGGACTCCCATAGAACAATGTGAGGTGCACTCTCACCCTGAACTCTTGGGGAAGGGTCTAGGCCCTGCCCTATATGAAATGACAGACTATGGACACCCCCATGGAGGGCCTCACCCTCCCTGGGGGAATGAGGGGATAACGGGGGGGGATGGGGGGGAGGGCACGGGAGGAGGGGAGGGAAAGGGAGAGGGACCTCGTACTGACTTGTGAAGCAACCTTGTTTCTTATCTAAATTTAAAATGGAAAATAAAAAAAATATTAATAAATAAAAAAAAGATCTGTTCCTTTCCATATGGGAAAGTATTCAGAAACTAGAAGATTATAACCATGGTCCTCCTGTTCCACAATCTTACATCTTAGTTTTCAAATTCATGATCACTCAGGCATTTTCTTCATTAGATGCTTCAGTTTATCTACAAGTCAGGATGCACCAAGACGGTCCAAGTAGAATGGAGTATAAGCAATGTCATCCGCCCTTCATACAAATGGAAGCAGGACTACCAATACTACAAAGTGGGGCCTTGGGATGACTTCCCTGAATTGTTAGAGCACAGTGACTTTAGAGTCTTCTCAAACCCTTGGGGCTTATTCATGAGCTGAAACCTGTTCCCCTCCTTCACTTGTTACTAAAATCAAATCTCTGGCCCCATGCGTTCAGTCTTGCTTCATCTTCATTCTTCCACCAGACTCTGCTGTAAGCATGCAAGTCAAACAAAGACAAGAAGGTAGTTTTCCACCCAGAATCAAATATCAAGTGATTTAAACCACCAAGGGACTTGGTTAGTCCTCCACAGGAAATTCAGTCTAGGAAAAAATTGAGGCTGTGATTATGTGGGAAAAAATGCCTATTGCTCACTTACATGTCTTCTCTATGATGATAAGCCTGGTGCTTATCATCCCTGTGTAAGTAATGAAATGTTCATCTTCCAGATTCTACCAGATTTTCAGATTATATCATTCTCAAATGTCAGGCACGGTTGGGAGTTTCACAGAGAACACTGAGTGTTGGCGACAGGCATCATTACAGATGCATCATCTCTTCTTTCTTCCAGGGGACCTCAGACCTGCACCGCTCATGATCCCTGCAGCCCACAAAGGTCAGTAATGGGTATAAGAGGTCATAGAAGCCAACAGTATATGCTGGTAGATCATCTGACCCTTTAGAGAAGAGCAGTGAGAAAGGAGGGAACCTCACTTGCAAACCTCACCAGGACAGGTTGCATGCCAGGGCAGGGTTCCTCCCATGCCCACTGGCTGCTTCCCATGTTGACAATAACTCCACCAACTCCCAACCTGAACACCCCACCCCCGTCAGGTTAATTGTCAGACTAGTAACTAGCTTCAAGAAGATAAAGATATTCTTCAAATGGCTCCAGATGAAGGAAGGAGTCAGGGGTACAGATGAGATGCCTGAATAGAACAAGAAGTGGGCAGCCAGTGGGAGACCTGGAGGAGCCTTTCTATGCTCAGTGCCAGTCTCGACTTCACCCCTAGATGCTCCTGCCTCACTACACTTCCTGGACCAGCATCGGGAGCAGCTGGTGGCCAGAGTGACATCCGTGGACCCTCTTTTGGACAAGCTGCATAGTCGGGTGCTGAGTGAACAAGAGTATGAGGCAGTGAGGGCTGAGGCTACCAACCAAGACAAGATGAGGAAGCTCTTCAGCCTCAGCCGGTCCTGGACCAGGGCCTGCAAAGACCAAGTCTACCAAGCTCTGAAGGAGACCCATCCTCACCTGATCATGGACCTCCTTGACAAGTAGCACAGGGTCTCTGTGTGATCCTGACATCTGGGGACTGAGTATTCTCCTTTGAGTCCTGGCTCTGCCTGGGCTTCCCTTGGCTTTACGTTTCTCCATCTATAAGCCAGTGGCTACCTGAATTGCCTTTATGATGGCACTGTTTCTAGGACATCGTGGGAACCCCATTGTTCCCTCTTATCTTCCCCAGCCAGATGTTCATGTGGGATGATGATCTCAGTGCTCTGATCCTCTACAATAGCAGCAAGGGCTCTGAACCACTGAGCCTTCTGTTCAGCCACCCTTCGTACTATTGTTTATCAGTTTCTTAACACAGGAATCCCACCTCCATATGGGATGATGGAACCAGCAAATCTATTCATGCCTTGTACAAACGGCTCTTATGGCCTGAGAGCCCACCTGACCCTCGACGATACACGCAGAGCTGGGGCACATGGGAATGGAGACAATGGGAGGATACTTTCCCTGGAAAGCAAATGTCTTAGGATGTCTTATGAATAGGAAAGGAAAGTGACTTCTCAAACTTTTTCTACCCTCAAACCCTTTTCCCAAATAATTTTTACATAAATCTAGGTACGTAGATATATGTGAACATAACAAACAATTCTACTGAATATAAATAAAAGACAGCTGTTTGTATGGAAGCCCTTACCCTCCCTGGGGAGGGGAGGAGGGATGGAGTGGGGTGGGGGGTTGGGAGCATTGTGGGTCTGAGGAGGAGGGGAGGAAGAGGGAACTGATAGTAACATGTATAAAAAGTTAGAGTTAAAAAATTATTACTAAAGAAAAGATGACTGTTGTAATATAATTTTGCCATTTTCTAAAGATGACAGCAAATTTGAAAACTAATGAGATGGATTATTTATTTTTGCATGAAGCATTAAATCTTGGTTGAAAATTTGATAGAGAAGCTCCACTGTCTCTCAGAGTTGATTGATAGTTTGTATTTCTCATGCTTTACACAAATGTACAACACACACATATTCCAGAAGATGTTGGAAATTCTGTCCTAATTCCAATTCACTTACCAGTACTTTATGTAACTCAAGTCAGCAACTCAAAACACAAACTTATAGACCCAAATATTCTCCCATGATACAATGCAAATGCATGCTAACTTGATTCTTACATGCTAAAGAACAAAAATGAGAAAATATTTGAATCTTTATAATCTATGATGAAGCTATCATGTTTCTACAGGAGCAGAAAGTCTCATATGTACAGGGAAAATGTTGCAATCACAGCAAACAATAGCCTCAACTATGAGCCAAGGTATTTCAGATGCATCACTGGGCTCATGCAGTGCAAAGTACTCAGGCTGTGTGCTCAGAACCACAGGTGTGAGGATGTCACATGGTGCAGCACGGTACACACTGCAGAAACACCTCAGATTCAGTCCACGTTTGAAGTAATCTTGGCCATTGCACATGCACAAATCTTTTGTTCTTGGCAAAATTTTGCAACTGCAACATTTAGTTCCATGGTCCCATATGGAGGTGGGATTCCCATGTTAAGAAACTGACATACAATAGTAAGAAGGGTGGCTGAACAGAAGGCTCAATGGTTCAGGGCTCTTGCTGCTATTGCAGAGGATCAGAGCATTGCTCCCAGCACTGTAATCAGGCAGCCCACACCGGCGAATCCAGCCCCATAGCATCCAACAGCCTATTTTGGACTCCATAAGCACTGATGCACACACAGATAATTTCTTACTTTTTTTAAATGAATGGCAAAGGGAGATTACTGTCCACTGCTCATCCACCTACCTCAGTGACACTTGAGGCTTGCAAGGTTGTGTACTTGTTCCAAGGGTTTTCCTGCCAGTCTCTTTCCCCAGGAAACCCAGCTTCCCTTCTGGATCAAGCTTCTGTGCCCCTCCCTTCCAGATCCATGGCCAGAGCTGTTAGCCTGACTTCTCAGTGCCTCCCATCTTGTCTTCTGGGTTTTTCAGGTGCAAAGTACAAGCAGTCTGGACAGTGGCCAAGAGTTTTGTTGCTTCAGTAAGATACTGGCACATTCTCAGGGAAAATAGAGAATAAAATATCTCAATATTAATTTTCCTTCCAGGAAATATTATGATGCCTTTTTTGTGCTAGGGTCCCAAGAAGCTATCTGTGCAGCCTGCATAGCCATGGTCATTTTAGTGCTAACACAGTGTGGTGTCACCAAGAGACTCCTGACTCTGCAGCAAGTGTCAGATCCTTTAATAAGTCCCAAAGGACAGTAAGTGTTTAGAAATAGAGATTTTAATGTTCACTTTCATCCAACTCGAGCCAGTGCTTTGGGAGAAATATACTTTACACAATAGAAAAAAAACACAATGAAAATAGTCCTGTCTCCCAAAAGTTTCCACTCTCTTTGTAGGTAGAAGTGACAGAAAGAAAGCAAATTTATGCTTGCCTGGCAGTGGTGGTGCACATCTTTAATACCAGCACATGGGAGGCAGAGGCAGAGGCAGGCAGGTCTCTGTGAGTTCTAGGCCAGCCTGGTCCACAGAGAGAGTTCCAGGACAGCCAGGTCTACACAGTGAAACTCTGTCTCAGAAAAGCAAAAGGAGAAGGAGGAGGAAGAGGAGGAGGAGAAGGAGGAGGAAGAGGAGGAGGAGGAGAAAGAGGAGGAGAAGGAAAAAAGGAAGAAAGCAAGGGAGGCGGGTAAGAGTCTGTGCTGTTGGGTGGTAACAAGTGTCAAGCAGGAAAATGATGGGGGTAAATTTTGGAATGGCAGTGCTGCTTCAGAAAGCAGGTAGCAAGCTCCTGACTAATGGAAAGTCATCCCAAAAGAATGGTGAAGCCAGAGCAAAAGCCCCAAGGTGAGTTCAAGGAATATGAAGGTAGAGCAGATTAACCCATGGAGAATGAGTGAGGAGAAAGAAGTGACATCTACAGGCAGAGAATGGCAGGATGGGGTGGAGAGGGTCATTGTGGAGCTTGTGACCTGCTGAAAGGATCCAGTATTTCACTCAGAGGAAGGTGGAAAGGATAGGAAGGTTTGAGCTAAGAGGTGTTAAACTAATCTACAAATTAGATATGTGACTGACAGACCAAAAACATCATCATGGAAAGTTAGGAACTGGGGTAGAGACATAGGATGCTGGCTGGACCAGCTGTCCCTTAGGTACAGTGAGAAGACTCAGATTACAGATCTGTTTAAAACCAGTGTGAGGTCTAGGGAAATGGCTCAGAGGATAAAGCATTTGCTCTGCTCTCAACACAGCATCCTCATAGATGCCTGCTGGTCTTGGCTAAGGCTTGTAATCCCAGAGCTCAGGAGGAGGAAACAGGAAGCAAAATCCATAAACTCTCAGTTAGTTCAGTGTAAGACTCTGCCTCACTAAATGGACTGGAGAGCATTCAAGGACTACAAAATAAGTGAGCCCACACACATACAACCACACACACACACACACACACACACACACACACACACACACACACATCTTTTAAAAAGGATGGCGTCAGAGGGAAATGAAGGTTTGGGAAAAGTTCATGACATAAAAAAAGACCCAGTGAGACTGGGGAGATCATCCAGAAGTTAAGAGCTCTTGCCGATCTTACAGAGGACCTGAGTTCACAGCACAGCAGCCATGTCAGATGGCTGACTGTCACCTCTAACTCCAGCTCCAGGGAAATCATATGCCCTCTTCAGGATCTCAAAGGCAGCATACTCACAGACTCACACACATACACATAGAATAAATAAAGTGTTTAGAAGTGTCTGGAGCCTAAAAATCCATTTACTAACATGAATAGTCAGCAGGTGCAGCAGTGGAGGAGAGGAAGAGGAGAGAGAAAGAGAGAAGGGGGGATCTAGAATAATCACAGATTTTGTTGAACTGGACCTTCTTGGCAAACCATGAGACCCCACATAGTAAACGGGCAAACTTGGGCTCAGGGAAGTGAATCCTAAACTCAGGATGCTGGGGCCTCTGCAAGCCTGGAAAAAGCTCATGAGCTGGATCATCCAACCCAGGGCTCATCAAAGCTCTAGAAATTTCTAGTGGTATTTCACAACAGGAAGCAAGTTGAGTAATGTCGTTTTTTTACAGACTGGAGGCCCAGAGATCTGAGAATCTGCCAAAAGACAGAGATCATCTGCGCAGGCTCCTGATGCCTGCCTTTGAGATGAAGAGCCATGGCCTCTGAGTGCCACTCTAGGCTGCATCTCACCGCCCCACCTACTGTCAAGGCGGTAGCTGAAAGACTGATCTCATGACTTGGGTCCTGGGAAAAGGGAGGAGGTGGGGACCACAAAACAGTGGATGTCACGCACATCCCATTCCTCCATCTCTCTGTCCTCATATCCTCACACAATCAGATTTTCCAGTGTATCCTCATGTCTTTTTCCTACAAGTCTTCCTACCACTCCTTTCTCCTTCCTACCTCCCAACACCATCTAAACACAGATAATTTAGAGTTTTAAACCTGGGATCTGGCCGAGAGGTAGTGGCGCACGCCTTTAATCCCAGCACTTGGGAGGCAGAGGCAGGCAGATCTCTGTGAGTTTGAGACCAGCCTGGTCTACAAGAGCTAGTTCCAGGACAGGCTCCAAAGGTACACAGGAAAACTCTGTCTCGAGACACAAACAAGCAAACAAACCCTGGGGTCTGGCTGCTGAATAGAGTTCACCAGGCCCAGAAACATGAGCTCCTTGAGAATTTGCCCTGGAGATGGTAAAACCAAGGCACTGAGAGACCATTGTCCCGTGTATCCTTGTGCCCACCGTCCCCATTCCCAGGGCAGACATGTCTGGCAGAGCACAGTATCGCTTGACTTACTACTTGGAGCAACTGAATAAGGATGAGTTGAAGGAGTTCCAGCGTCGGCTGCTAGACCGCACAGCTCTGACAGAGGCCAGTGGCATGGAGGTGACCTCAGACCTGGTGGCTCAGCATGGGAGTCATTGGGCCTGGGACCTGGCCCTCCACACCTGGGAACAGATGGGCATGAAGCAGCTCTGCAGCCAGGCCCAGCAAGAGAAGGGCCTGACACTGAGTGAGAACACAAAGACCCCAAGCCTTCCCTCACTGCGACTCTCTCACCATTACTAACCCTCCTGTCAAGCCTTAATCGGGGCAAGCTAATCTCCGGTCAAAAGAGGCTTCAGACTCCATCCTTAGCTGGAGCTAGAAGTCTTCCTGGAAGCTCTGGCTGAGCTCCACACCCCCTTCTACTGAAATGCATTCTCAGGACCCCGTGCAGTCCTCGCAGGCCCTGGGAAGGAGCACTCTGAAGCTGCAGCAGGGAGAGGCTGGCATTCAAAAGGGCACTGAGACGGGTGAACATGGGGTTTAAGCCAGCTCCCAAGAGGAGTGTTTGTGTACCATAATGACTTGCTAGTCACTTAGGAGCTAGACAAAGACAGGCTCCAGTCATGGCATTACCACCCAGGGTAGGTCATTTCGCTGCCTTCTGCCTATCTCTCCATGTGGAAAATAGGGGCCTCAATACCTACCTTCCTGGGTTCTGTGAGCTAAATGATGATCCACATCAAACAGAGTTTAACAAACAACAAATGATCAGTAAGTACAAGTGCCTTTGATTGCTACTACTGCTTCGTTATTGTTTGCAACCCTGGAAGGCAGAAGACCATAGCCACAAATGAAGGAGTTAGAGATCAGAGAGGACCGTGACTCACACATGTGAGT